CCTCGCCCGGCTAGTTTTCTGTATTTTTTAGTAGAGACGGGGTTTCACCGTGTCAGCCAGGATGGTCTCGATCTCCTGACCTCGTGATCCGCCCGTCTGGGCCTCCCAAAGTGCTGGGATTACAGGCTTGAGCCACCGTGCCCAGCAAAACTGGATCTCAAAATGAAGGTGAGTGCATATTAAACATATGTAGATGCCTTTTAAGTGTGTGAGAATAGAGGATAATATTAGAGATTAGGGATTAGTTTATTTCTTCATCCTTAAGCCAAATAGTGGTGTTTGGCTATGAGCTATGCCTAAGTGGTTGCCAGTCTTTTCCACATGGTCTTGCTATTGACTGCTTTTCATTGCTTCCACTTCAGTGTGCTCCGGGGAAGGAAGCAAGGACAGGCGGAGAATTAGATTGAGATTTAAATCCCAATGTTATAATTTACCTGCTTAATAATCTTGGACAAATAATATGGCCCCAATGGGCCTTTGTTACTTCCTAGAATAAATGTGAGGATTAAGTGGGATTTCACGATCTGCCTCACTGGTTTGGGATGTAAAGTTGGTCATGCTTTTTAAAATTTCCTAATTGATCATTTGAATCTCCACTTGCTAATAAGGGCAAGAAGTCTGCGATCCTGTATTTGAAATCTTCTTTACAAATTGACCGAGAACCTTACTCTTCCCAAGGAAATCTCCTTCCCATCTCCAGCTGGGGAGAAACTTGGAAAAGCCTGGCCAGCCCGCTGGTAGGCCCTGGGATCACTGCTGTTGTTTCTGTTGGGACCTTTTGATGGATTGGCCCCACCCAGTCCAGTGGGCCTTTCTCCATTGCCACCATGTCCCTTCTGGTCCAGTCCTCGCACACAACATGGCGGTGTCCAAGCCTGGGCTCTCAAGATGACTTCTCTTCAGGTCACATCCATATACTTAGTCATTGTGTCCTGTGGCATCTGTCCGGGGTGACTGGACACAGAGGAACCTGTCATCAGGCAAGAAACCTCTGTCTTTCCTGGTGCATATTAGAACCAGCTGACCTCAGTTGGAAACATCCTAATTCTTCTGAGAAATTCTGATAACACCACACTTTTTTTTTTTTTTTTTGAGACGGAGTCTTGCTCTGTCACCCAGGCGGCCAGGCTGGAGTGCAGTGGCACGATCTCCACTCACTGCAAGCTCTGCCTCCTGGGTTCACGCCATTCTGCCGTGTCAGCCTCCCGAGTAGCTGGGACTACAGGTGCCCGCCACCATGCGCGGCTAATTTTTTGTATTTTTAGTAGAGACAGGGTTTCACTGTGTTAGCCAGGATGGTCTCGATTTCCTGATCTCGTGATCTGCCTGCCTCGGCCTCCCAAAGTGCTGGGATTACAGGCGTGAGCCACCGTGCCTGGCCAACGCTACATTTTAAAAGAGGAGTGGCCAAGGTCACCTTTCTCCCTCCCCCAGGAGGCTCCTTGAGGCTGCTATGCATATTTAGCCCCCTCCCGTCTATCAGCACTGAGTACCCAGCAATCACAAAAGTTGCTGTCACACCACCTCATCAGGAATGGGGTTGCTTATACCATCCTCATCAGGAATGGAGGTGCTTATACAAACCTTAAATTTGTATAACTAAAAAGGGCCATTCAAGTGATTCTTCCTGGGAACAAAGAAGGTTGATACTTTGGAAGGCTGAGGTGGGCGGATTGTGAAGTCAGGAGATCGAGACTATCCTGGCTAACACGGTGAAACCCTGTCTCTACTAAAAATACCAAAAATTAGCTGGGTGTGGTGGTGGGTGCCTGTAGTCCCAGCTACTTGGGAGGCTGAGGTGGGAGAACGGCGTGAACCCAGGAGGCAGAGCTTGCAGTGAGCCGAGATCGCACCACTGCACTCCAGCCTGGGTGACAGAGTGAGACTCCGTGTCAAAAAAAAAAAAGAAGATTGACTAAGGGGCTTTTGGACATTATGTAGACAGACACCCCTGACACCTTCTCTTACTAAATAAGTAAATAAAATTCTGTTTCATCAGACATAGCCACATATGTGTAAAGCACCTACCCCACCTGTTTTTATGCTGTGAAGTAAGACATACCCAAGACTGGGTAATTTATAAGGGAAAAAGGTTTAATTGACTCACAGTTCCACATGACTGGGGAGGCCTTACAATCACGGCGGAGGGCGAAGGGGAAGCAAGACACGTCTTACATGGTGGCAGAAAAGGCAAGAGCATGTGTAGGGGAACTCCTCTTTATCAAACCATCAGAACTTGAGAGACTTACTCACTATCATGAGAACAGCATGGGAAACACCCACCCCCTTGATTCAGTGACCTTCCAGCAGGTTCCTCCCATGACACGTGGGAATTATGGGAGCTATAATTCAAGACGAGATTTGGGTGCGGGGGAACACAGCCAAGCCATATCACCACCTCTGTCACCCCTGAGAAGTGCTCAGAAAATGTTAGCTGTCTCCCTCCTCCTTTCCTTCTCAGCCTGACCAAACCTCTGCATCATTCAAGCTGGGAACACCTTGCCTTCCAGAGACCTTTCCCATTCCTCAGTGTCCATTCTCTGCAGGGCTCTGCGTAAATACGCCCTGTGCTGACCCCTTATACGCAACCTCCAGGGAGGTTAGATGGCCAGAGCTGCTTTCAGGGTTTGTTTGCCAAAGGCAGTTTATTCTTTTTTCAAATAGTTAGAATTTACTTCACATTTGAATCCAACTTGTGTTTTTATACAGCCAGCATGTCCTGAGCATTCTGTCATGGAAAAGAATTTGCTCATCCAAGAATAAACAATGCCTAGCTAGTATCCCTCTTGAGACAGGTAGAGGCGTTTATGAAGTGTGCCTTGTTACTAGCCTGTGCCCCACAAATAAACTTTCTGCTGTGAGAAAGGGTGTGGCACCTGCTTTTTTGGAGGTTTAGTTTCACAGAACCATACAGTCCTTGTCTGGTTTTGCCAGCAGTGCCTGCTTAGAACGCACAGAGGGGCCCTGGACACTGTGGTCAGAGGCTGTCCTCAGACTCCATCTCCATTGCAGACCAAGCTCTTTACCACATCCCCTTGCAGGATTCCCAGATGTCCCTAGGAGGCCCAGGAGTATGTATCTCCAAGTAGACTCTTATCTCCATAAGCAAGTGATAGCTCCCTTGAATTATTTTGGGTGAAGGAATTGGTTTTCACATGTTTCATAAGGCCTAATTAGGTGCCTAATACCATATTATTCTTGCAGATGTTTAATTATTGACTTTAGACACAGATTCTAATAGAAATAGAAGAAAAACTGTGACAAACTCTGAAGTTTTCCTGAAATTATTCATAGTCCCTCCTGACATTTCCTCCACTGGCTGTTTTTTTTTTTTTTTTTGCTCTAATGTTTCCAACAGACATGCTTTGCTAATGGTACGAGGTGTGGCTTTGTTGTTTTTTCCGGAGTTAGCCTTTCTGTCTATGCATCCTGGCTCTTTGAAATCCCAGCTGAATTTGGAGAAATTGTTTCTTGGCATCCACCCTGCTTTCCTGGGACACAATGTGATGCTGATGACATAGCCCGGTCACTCCACTTGACAACAAGTTTGTTTGTCTCATCTCAAAAACATATTCAGTGGTGAGTAAGAACAGAAGTGGAAAGCCTTACTTACCGCAGTTTATTATGTGTTTCATGCCCGTGATAATTACTTTTATAATGCCACTTGTGAAAAAATTGATCAGATTAGGATGAATCACCTTGCTGGCCAACAGTTATTGGAATGATTCTCCACGTGTGACTTCGTTGCACTATTACAAAATGTGGCAGGATAGACCTGCCCAGCCATTGTTGCCGGTGTTCATTTGTAATGCTGCCTTAAGGAGATGAGGACATGAGAGCCAATTGTTCCAGCAGCTCAGCCTGCCCTGCCAACAGTTCAGAGGAGGAGCTGCCAGTGGGACTGGAGGTGCATGGAAACTTGGAGCTCGTTTTCACAGTGGTGTCCACTGTGATGATGGGGCTGCTTATGTTCTCTCTGGGATGCTCCGTGGAGATCCGGAAGCTGTGGTCGCACATCAGGAGACCCTGGGGCATTGCTGTGGGACTGCTCTGCCAGTTTGGGCTCATGCCTTTCACAGCTTATCTCCTGGCCATCAGCTTTTCTCTGAAGCCAGTCCAAGCTATTGCTGTTCTCATCATGGGCTGCTGCCCGGGGGGCACCATCTCTAACATTTTCACCTTCTGGGTTGATGGAGATATGGATCTCAGGTAAGTAACCCCAGGGAAGCTTAGTAGTCTGCCTCTTATCCTGCCTGGGGGGAATAACTGACACTCTCTGTTAAAGACTCTTCCAGTCTTTCGGTAGAGATTTTACTGGGTAATGTTACAAATATCACAGAGACTTGTTCAGCCATGGATGGGCTTTACTTTCAGTGCTCAAAATTTACTTTGCTGGTCATCATTTGATTTATTGGCTGTTCTGAGCCGTGGGATATGTTTCCTATGTGATAGTGGAGGCCGGTCTCCACCTCACCCAGTGACCCTTCCTAAGCTTGAGCTCTTTAGCAACTGGCCTCTTTAGCAACTCCCAGGACTTAAGCCAAGAATCCCAAGAAGCTAATGATTGTGGTTTGGTAGCAGCCATCGTGGCTGTGGTGGCATAGTCAGAATGAGACTCCCGTAGCTCCAGTCAGTGATGCCTGAGCACCTACTTTAGGAAAGAAGCACTTTAGAGGACTAGATAAAGGAGCTTTAGGGGCACCTGGTGGCCATATCTGGCTTTAAGTGCTGGGATGGCCTGTTGATTTGGCTTCAGGAGCAACGCAAAGGCTCTCAGGACTAAAACAGTTCTTTCTTGTTGCTTTGCAGATGGTTAACATCATCACTAGATTCACATTCTTTCCCTTTAAGCCAGTGACCTTATTCCCAATTATGGTGTAGATAAATACCTCTGGGAGACATTAAGCCTTGTCCTTTATTTACACTTTAATGAGGATGAATTAGTCACACGTTTTTCTGGATTACATGTTTTGATGGGGGAAAAAAAGAGCATTTGAGGAAGGAGTAGAGGAATCAGCACTGGAAAAAGAACTAGAAACAATGGTCTCTGGAGACTCTTTGCTTACTTGTGAACATACCGTTTCACCTCCTGCCCTGGGGAAGAACTGCTTATAAATTTAAGTCTTTGTTTCATGTGTATGCCATTTAGTTGAGATTTACTCTACCGTGAATGGATGAATAAGAGGTAATGACTGAGCTGGGAGCTGACATCAGTGAGAGTCAGCTGCAGGTATGGGTTTCCAGTTTCCCGCATGTGCTGAATGTTTAGCGTATGGTACCTATTTCACCTATAAATTTTAATGGGCTCATACCATGCAGAATAGGAACTAACTTTCACATGGCAGTGTTATTGGTTACCCACTTATGAGAGATTTGAAAAAAAAAATAACTTGATGAATTTTGTGTTTTACCTTAATGGTAAAAGCCATTAATATTCATTGCTAATTCAAATTCAATAAAGTTGACTGTTTAACTGGGAAATGATAGATATTCTTTGCTTGAAGTTCATAAATCAGATAAATTCCAGGACCTAAAAGTTTTTGGAAGGAAATAGGAAACTAATATCTATTAAGTACTCTATAGGCATGGGATAGATGCTTTCATGCTTATTTTCTTCTTGGGGCTCATAATAACCTTGTAAATGGCCTTTTATTATTCTGAATTTTACAGCTGAGAAAATTGTGATTCCGGTTAGTTAAGTAGCTTACCAAATGCTACAAACCAGTATGGCAGAACTCAGATTTGAATTCACATCTGTTTTACATCAGTCTGCAGTTTAGGTACATTTCCCCCATGACATTTAGCAACACAACTAGATCTTCTGTTTTGAGTAGCAGCATAAATCTTCTCAAACACTTGTGTTCTGGGAAAGAGAACATTTATTACCTTAATCTCTTATTAGTCAATGTTGTGATAAAAACACCAATGTATAGGAAATCTATGAAAGACAACGCTAATTTTACTTTCTTTTGCCAACTCTATCTTTAATTCACCTTTAACTTTGTTCAAATTATTTAACCTATCTAAGCCTTATCTCATCATTGGCAAAATGGGGTTAAATTTACCTGTTTCTCACAAGACTGTATATATATGTACACACACTCACACACACACATATAGATAATAGTTTGGGGTGGAGTTTCGCTCTTGTTGCCCAGGCTGGAGTGCAATGGTGCGATCTTGGCTCACTGCAACCTCCACCTCCTGGGTTCAAGCGATTCTCCTGCCTCAGCCTCCTGAGTAGCTGGGAATACAGGTACCCGCCACCACGCCTGGCTGCTTTTTGTATTTTTAGTAGAGATGGGGTTTCGCCATGTTGGTCAGGCTATTCTCGAACTGCTCACCTCAGGTGATCGTCTCGTCTCGGCCTCCCGAAGTGTTGGGATTACAGGCGGAAGCCACGGCACCTGGCTGACACAAGACTATATTTTATGGAAGAAATATATACTTGTGTGTGTGTGTGTTTGTGTGTGTGTATTCAGGGTGCCAGGCACATAGTAGCTGTGCAATAAATATTATCTATGTTTCCTCTTTTCTTTCTAAATTTTGGTTTTGATTCTTACCAACAAAACTCAAAAAAAAAAAGCAAAAACTAAATATTAGATTTTTGGAAGCTTATAGGTACAAAAGTAATAAAATCAGTTTTCAGTAGAAAGCCAAATAGGAGAAAATCCAGTCCAGCGTGAAACAATATCCAAGTGATTACATTTCTTCATAATTGATTACCAACAAAAATCAGTTTTAAGCAAAACTCAGTGGATCATCATTGGTAGGAGTTTTATCTGCTTTTAATGCTGGATAAAATCCAAGAGCGTTTAGCACAACATCTTCATTTGACACATGAAGAAGTGGAGACTTAGCTCCCTGCGGATGACCCTGAGCATGTTTCTCATGCCTTCACTCCAGCTTCACGCAGTGCACTTGCACTTCTCCACGTGTTCACCCCACACAGGCATTTCAGAATCCATTGGTTTGAACCGGTTTGTGTGTTCTGCAAATGAGATGATTGATGACACCCATCCTCTTGCAGTTGCCTGGGCTTGTCATCTTAGCCTTGCCCTGTGACTACCCTCATTCTCACCATGGTCACTCAATCCACTGCCAAGCCCTGTAGCCCCTCCTCTTGCTGTGTTGCTCACAGTTCTTGCTTCCTGTCGGTCTCTACTAAAACTTCCTCAGGTCAGGCCCTCACAATTTCTTTCTTGACTAATTGTATTTTCACAGCAATGAAAGTGCTGTTCTCTGCACCTTTAATCTCTCCATTATGGCTTTGCAGTAAGTGGATAAGGCAGGCTCTGATACCAGATTGCCTATATTCAAATCCTGACCTTGGGCCTCTTCTCTGTAACTGGAAATCACAACATTACTCGCATGGTACTGTGAGGAGAAAACAAACATGTTATACATACAAAGTCTTCTCAACACCTACTAAATTGGTAGAAACTACTAAGCCGCTCTACTTTATTTCTCCAGGTTCTTTTGTTCCACTAGCCACCTTAAGAACAATGGTTTTTAGTCAACATGGGCTGCTTATAGTTCTCTGAACATATCCCACACTCTTCCAGCTTTCTTTTGCCCATGTTGTTCCCACAGTCGGCAATGCCAACTGACCTTATTCTGTCTCCTCCAGTCATGATGTTGTCCTTCCTTATAACTATTCTAGAAAGCAGTTGGCTGACATGTATGAAAAGCCTTAAAAATTATCCTGCCTCTGGGCCGAGTTTGGCTGATCATGGCTGGGTTCTTTTACATACTTGGGAGTTGGTTAAATGTAAACTTGTCTCGGGTGGTGATATGGTTTGGCTCTGTGTCCCCACCCCATTCCTATTTGTCGAGGGAGGGGCCTGTAATCCCCGAATGTCAAGGGAGGGAGGTGATCGGATCATGGGGATGGTTTCCCCCATGGTGTTCTCATGATAGTGAGTGATGGTTTTATGAGTGTTTGGAAGTTCCTCCTTTGTTCTTCTTCTCTCTCCTGCTGCCTTGTGAAGAAGGTCCTTGCTTCCCCTTCACCTTCTGCCATGTTTGTAAGTTTCCTGAGGCCTCCCCAGCCATGTGGAACTGTGAGTCAATCAAATCCCTTTCCTTTATAAATTACCCTGTCTTGGGTATTTCTTTACAGCAGTGTGAAAATGGACTAATGCAGGTGGCTTCAACCTGGACAACTGGGCTCTCTTACTACATGATCTCTCATTTTCTAGTAGATGAGCCTAGACCTAATCGTATGGCAGCAGCAGGGTTCTCAGAAAGGCAAAGCAGAAAAGGTCTTTTGAAGTGTTGGCTTTAAACCAGATCCTCATCCTTCCACCACATTCCATTGGCCAATGCAGATTGCAAGGCCAGTCCAGCTTCATGGATTAGGAAAGTAGATTTTGCCTCTTGATGTGCTGAGCTTCCAAGTCACATTACAGCAGACTCAGATAAGGGAGGGGTGAAGAATAGGTGGTATTTTTTCCCCAATATATCCTGCTAGAGATGGACAGAATTCCTACCTTTGAGGGTAGGACATGAAAATTAAGATCTGGCAGTACAGCGTAGTAGTTAAGTGCTCTGGAAACAGCAAGCAGACCTGTCACTTACTGACTGGATCCTCTCGGCAGATTGTGCACATTCTCTATGCTTTACTTTCCTCGTTTCTAAAATGAGAAGCGTTCCTACATCATGAGCTGTTGAGAAGATTGAATGAGTTAATATATCTAAAGTGTTTAGAATCTCACCTGGCATAAAATGTGATATGAACTATTATTATTATACAAGGCAGGCAAAAGAACATCGTGTCCTGGGGTCTGTGTTTTAATCTCTGCTCTAGGAGCTGTATGCCTAACCCTAACCCTATATATAATGACATATTTTAATATATATGTGTCATTTTTTATCTACTCATCCATCAATGGACAATTGAATTGTTTCCACTTTTTGGCAATTGTGAATAATGCTGTTGAGTCTCAGCTTTCATTTCCCTTGAGTGTATGCTTAGGAGTGGATCTGAGGTTAAATATTAAGTGTTTTGTGACTATAGGAAAAGCAAAGCAAAATATGATGTCCAAATATGCCCCTTCCCCTACCCTGGTTTCTCCTGAAACTACTGCCCAGAGATGTTTCTCCTCTCTGTCCCCATAATTTGAATTATGTAACTCTTCCTTATAATCTGTTGGAAAGCATTGCAATAGCTGGGCTACTTGTCTGCCTCACCTACTATGTCTGTAACT